TTGCAGCCTATCAGTACTTAAAGGGGGCTTATAAAAAAGATGGCAGCAAACTCTTTAGCAGGGCCTGTTGCGACAGGACAAGGGGGAATGGCTTGAAACTAAAGGGGGGTAGACTTAGACTAGATCTAAGGAAGAAATTTTTTACGCTGAGGGTGGTGAAACACTGGCACAGGTTGCCCAGAGAGGTGGTGGATGCCCCATCCCTGGAAACATTCCAGGTCAGGCTGGACGGGGCTCTGAGCAACCTGATCTAGTTGAAGATGTCCCTGCCCACGGCAGGGGGGTTGGACTAGATGACCTTTAGAGGTCCCTTCCAACCCAAACTATTCTGTGATTCTATGAAATTGTTAGAATTTACCATTTGGAACCTTAATCAGTAAACTTTCAAAAAATAGACCATTTGTTATGTATCAAGGAAGACTTACCTGCAGGCTTGTCAAGAAAATATGCGAGCAAACAGCGCATGACAGCTTGGTGACATATGACAAGCACATTTTCCTGCCTTTCAAGTTCCATAATTACCGGCTCCAGCCTCTGAACAAGATCTTCATAGGACTGGGTGGGGAGGAGAAATACACGGCACATTAAGAAGGGAACACTCTTTGAACAGTATGTGTATATACAGTGGATCTTACTTTCATATTAGTCATCTTCTAAATGTTTATTAGTGCACAGGCAAATACTGTAGTAATAATTTTCCTTAAATTAAGAACACAGTCCGGGTCTTCCAGACAATCAAAGAGCATACATGTAACAAAATAAATCTCCCTCATGGAAAGGCTTTATTAAATTAGTCACTGTGATCAAGAATTTCCACAAAATCCCTAGAATTTAATTCATGGCATCTGCAAATGCACAGGTTAAGTCTTGCACATTATTTTCCATGCCTCATCTTCAAAAGCATCTCTCTTCCAAGCAAAAATCTGGGAAGCCCAGCCTACAGCCATCATACAAAGAGTTCACAAAGCCTGACTTGTTTCAGGCTGCCCTTTGAAAACAAACTATGGGCTAGGTGAACCGGCCTGGCGACGGCAGCCACCATCCCTTCAAGTCACAAAACAAGGAGGCCGGATTTCACTTGCCACCTGTCCTGCACAGCATGCGCACAGGGAATCTGCTGCTGCAGGTGAACAGCAGGATTTCCGCATGCGCATGCTTAAGTTAATTTTCACATGCACAGTAAAGACAATACTTCCAAAACGCGTCACGCGTTGCAGGTGCGGAGAACAGCACGTGACCCAGCAGGGCAGGGGATGACCACAGCAGAAAGCCTTCACCCCGGTCCCAAGGCAGGCATGGGGGCTGCCCGGTTGGAAAGCAGCACTGCTTATTCAGACCTTGGGAAGAGAAACCCAGAGGGTTTGCGCTACCCTCCAGCAAGGTAGCGCAAACCCCTGCGACTCTTACCAGGGACAGAGAAACTGCCTTTGACAAACGACTGAGATCAACTGATCACCCCAAGGCGATGAGACAGTTTGAAATGTTTGTCACCATCCCAGAGGATGGCATCAGTTTGAAAAACAAACACTCCTTGTTCAAACGGATTAGGAGAACTTTGCAGCTTAATGACTGCCTCATTAGTAAGACAGGGGTCATACCCGCAAGAACACTGCTCTTATCACAAGCTGCTCTCAGTACAGTGATTACTCTTAACTGCTGAGGAAAGACGACCACCAAGCTCCGCTTCCTCGTGGACAAACAGCTGAGCAGCTGGTCCAATTACTCCTCCACCCTGCTGCCCTGAATCCTAAGCCTCTAGCACCCACAGACAGGCCGTGTGACCATCTGGTAATTGCTGCGCTGTAATGGGTTTGCTTTAGAAGAGCTGTCAGGAAGTTATTTTCCCAGAGGCAAGGAGTTTATTAAAGTGAAAGACCAATGTGGCTACAGATTTCCGTAGCATTTCAGCCAGAACTGCATGCAAAACAGCCATTATCTACAGCAAGGACGAATGGAAAAAGGCAATCTTGGCACTATGTTTGCATATGCAACAGTCTGAAGCCTTGCAATCATTCTTCCCGCTTTATCACTGCAGGATCAGCATAGAAACGATGCCCACAAGATCAAAGCTCTCAACCGTTTTCTGAATCGACTGTTTTATTTTTCAAGCCCTGGATCAAATGAAGTGGTCTGGGCTCAATCCTTGCAAGCTCCTATATGCTTTCCCCTGGAGAAAGGAACAACCTTTTTATTAATTTTAAAATTTATTTTCTCCCTCCTAAAGCCATGTTTGGCTTATCTATTCACAGAGTATGTCAAGCTTGGCTACATCGCGTCCAGTGAAGAGAACCATATGTCTCTTCAATATTCCTTTGTACTCGGTATCACTATATGCTTTCCCCTGGAGAAAGGAACAACCTTTTTATTAATTTTAAAATTTGTTTTCTCCTTCCTAAAGCCAGCATGCATGTATTCAAGACGACAAGGAAGCCCTTCGCCTTAAGAGAGAAAAAAGAGCATACCTCTCCTTTAGGGTATCTGTATCGGTATTTGTCTTGGTCTCTCAGTGCAAATTCAAGCGGATAATTTTCTTGTATTTCTTCATATGTCATTTCTTCACACACTCCCTATAGGTAATAAAAATAATTAAAAAGCATGTATTTCCAGCAGTGCAAAAAGCAGGTATCACTCTTAAATAAAACCATATATAAATAACCTTTAACAATTTTACTTTTTTACTCTGACACTTAAAGACAAAGTTGTCACACATGATGAACAGGACACTCAGCTGGACTCGGATGTGGTTAGAAGGAATCATCAAATCCCTATACAAGTGAAGCTACATATATGGGCAAGCAAGGTCACTGAGCAAGGTCACACTTTATCTATTGCACCTGCTTATATATCTTACAGGTGCAGCTGGAAAGCGCCAACTATCAATGCCTTTTTTCTTTCCAACCCCCACCTACCAAAAATTTCATAGCATTGTGGCTTCTACAGGGGAATGTTTTACTGGGAAAGACAAACCAAGAGTAAATTAATTATGGCAAATTTTAATAAAACGTTTAGCCGTGTTAACAGGAATTAATGACAATTTTTCCAGCCTCTAGAACCAGCTTAAATGACTTTCTATCCCCTAAAAGGCATATCATTACAAAATTAAGTACTTCCTTCAGCCCTAGCAAACAAAGCAACTTATTAGACGTTTAGAAAAGAAGAACTTACTGCATCTATCTCATTCAAAACCTTCCACTGCTCATAAGGCACTCCCAAGGCTTCAGCAGTCTGAATTGTCCTTTTCATCTGGCTGGTCCAAACTTTCAGGTCTTTGATATTTTGCTCATTAATAAATTGTGCCAAGCTTTTGGCAAACTGAAAGAAAAACCATGAGACACTGGATGAGGGCTCAGAGCCAACACACTGTGTTCAGTTTGGAACACACAGGCTCTAGCCTCTGTAAACTCATTGTAACTTTTCCAAAAGGCTCTGTCAAAGTTTTTGCTAAGAAATACAACACATTCTATTAAGCCAAGAGGGACAGGGGAGGGAAGGAAAGGAGTACAAGGAAGACACAAGTTTTCTGCGGTTCCCATCTTTATCTCCAGGAACTTTCTTTTCAGCTTTACCTTGTGAACCTTCCCAATTATCCAACAGGTCAGGATTTTACAAAAATACAGTTAAAAATAAAGCCCTCTTGACAACTGCTTTGTGCTGTAGGATAAAAAGGAATTTCAACCAACAGAATGACAGATAAAAGAGAATGTACCAAATCACAAAGGATGTCCATCCAGTGTCCACTACCCACATACGCAACTAAATAAATCCTCCTTAAACATGTTAAGAGGAAAAGGGTGTAGAGGAAGAAAGTTGTAATTACACAGCACAAACTGCACACATCCACAGCTATAGACAAAACCCAGTCACACTTGTTCAGGAGGCACGTACTTCTTTCCCCCTGACAGACAGTCCAGGATCTCCTCCTATTCTCCCTTTCAGATTGAGTTCACTTTCTCCGTGTCGACAGAGGTAGATTGACCGAGGAGTCACATGGATATTCATGAGGTAGTAGACAATCCGGCTCTGGATGTGATCCATTACTCTGTTCACAAGGTAACTTCTTCCAACATCCATAATTTTAATATAAGAAAGATCCCTTTCACGAGCAAACAAAAAAATATGTAAGATTCCACACAGTTTCTATTAGCATGTAGCACAATCTTCCCAACCCTCTCTCTCATCATAAAACAAAGGGGCAACAAGCCAAAGCAATACACAAACCCTCAATCACCCATGGAATGTGCATTAGCCCCAAGAAACAATGCAATACTCCAAAGGCACAGGATGAACTCTATTCCCTTCACCTGCAAGCTGCTCACATCACTTTCTTCTCTGTTCCCTTTACTTGCACTTTGTCTCTCAAACCTAGATCCTACTCTTGGAAAAATACAGCCCTCCCACTGAAAGGAAGATTCAGCAGAGTCATTCAACTGTGGTAGCTTCAATAAGATATCCAGATATTTTACGATACTAGATATTTTTCTCCAGGTTACAAACACTTGCCCCACAGCAAGTATTTGTCTGATTGCACCCAGGGGCCAAAAGGCACGGTCACTATTTACCCATCTCAGTAAACCCTTCCAGAAAAACTACAGCATCAGAAGGACCAGGGACTAGCCTGAAGCAAAACATTTTCTCAACCACTCTGTCAACAACTATTTATTAACAGTACTGTAATTCACCCCACCACTACCTTCTCTCAGCATCAGACAGGCTATAATTTCAATTTTCACTGCTTATCCTTTCTCATCTGAGCTGTAATTTCAGAGTAGCATCTAGTTTAAAGGAGGAAAAAAGTCTAATAAGCTGAAAATAACCACTATTGGTTTCTAGCATTTGATACATCACGCCACAATAAAACAAGAAAACTTATAATAAAACCAAATGGAGGTGATGGGAAGCAAGTATCATCACCTCATCTCTGATAGTAATGATTAACGCCAAAGAACGCTATTTCACCCAGGCACAACCATTAGGTCCGTCACAGAAATTACATGCATGAACTGATCTGATTGAACCAGCTTCACACTGCTTACACTCAATTACATTAAAATGCAGCTCAGCCTTCTCTATAGCACTGGTCCTGAAACAAACCAGGAGCACCTGGTATGAGCGCAGCTCAAAATCCCACACTGAAATCCTGGACTGTAGCAAGAGAAACAGGGCTCCTCCTCACACGGTTCATCCCTGCCTTACTTTCAAGTGTTGAAAGTGAATGAAAAACAGATGAATGCTTTGGCATGAGGACAAATAACCTAGCTATGAAAGTTTCTGATAGCCCTGCATCTGCAGGATAATTTGCAAGCACAAATAAATAAATTTAGAAGTCACATTTTTAAGACTGATGTGTTCAAAGTTCATCTTAGCCATGTCAACAAATGAAGTTATACTTACAAATCACTCAGGTCTCCTCTACATACTAAAAAACCAAACAACAACCAACCACTACAGCTAGTCTGGAATAATTTCTAAATGCTGGTTCTACCCCAGAAGAATCATACCATTCTCCACGTGGGAAAATCAAAAGGAGCATTGTCCCAGAGTAGACTCATTAGCCAATTTTCTTCAACCAAGCAAGTTTCCAGGCTACACCCCCAGAGTCAACTCTCTCTAATTTGCCAAAGGAAAGAGATTAAAAGCCATTAAAAAAACATGACTAGAAAGCCCTAATCCCCGATACAGGATGCTCCATCCCCTAAGGAAACATCTTAAAATAACTCAGTTGTGATCAGAGTACTATTTCATCACTTACTTGTCAAGAGTTTCATCTAATGTCTCATACGAGTTCTTGTAGCACTCTATTCTTTTCATGAAGTCTTCTGTCGCTTCATCATTACTACAATCAACATAGTCAGGACTACCCAGCTTCACTTGCTGTTTAAAAACAGGAGAGTAGTACATGAGTTTCTTTCCCTTTTTAATGAAGTTTAAAGAAATAGGAAGGGGGAGAACACAACACAAAAACTTATTTTCTGGAAGTTAATTAAAATATATGTAAAGCAAGAAGAGCTATTCTTCATAGAATTAAACTTCTGAGTCAGTATACACACAGGCAGGAAAATAAATGAAAAGTGTTCCATCAATGGGAGCTAATGTTTTTTTGCTATTGGAAGTTGTTATAATGTACTTCTAAAAACACTGAACTACTTTAAACCTCTTAACTTAAAGCAGTTAAAGCAAACTTTCCTATACTCACCACAATGTTTGCAGCAATGACCTCTGGGTCTACGCATACTGACTCAACAAAAAAAGTCTTCAGTCCAAATGGGAAGTCACGTGTACAGAAGGAAGGAAGGAAGAAGATGCATTAAAACGCCTCTGGAGACTAACACACACGAGCAGCATGTTGCCCACTTCCATGCTAACCCCTTTTTAACAGAGCCGTGCCTTAAACTTCCCTCCATTTACTCAGAAGGTTTCTTCAGACCCTCTCATCAGAAATTGTTGGCTTACCATTTCCTGAAGTATCATGCTCTACGTTATTTTCCCAGCAATGCTTGTTAAGTGGAAAAATTTTGCAGTGAGAAAAATTCAGGATGGAAGAGGATGCAAGTTCAGCCATACAAACGGTAACTAACGCTCCTGAAATAATAATTTAGAAGCCTTTCAACTAATGGAGTAGCCTCACTCAAAAAGAGGTTTGTGTTCTGCTGTTCCAAAGGTTTATGGAGACGCAAGTTTAGAGGAAATGCAAGATTACTGGAGAATAGCTAAATGCAAAACAATCCTGGACAGAAGGCAGAAAGCCACAAGAAGTTTTTGGTTTGTACAGAACTAACACAGAATTCCCTACGTGTTTCTGCAGCAAAATCTGAACTGCACTAAGAACCGTATTTTAAACAGTTCTTGCTGACAGTACACTCAGAACTACAGGTCCAGGATGACAGAAGTGAAGCCATAGCATAAGAGAGGTTAGCTCCAAACAGTACAAACATTAAAGATGAGAAAAATGAGGATGGGGTGACTTTTCATCACAATGTTTGAGAACACGAACTGCTCTATTGACTAAACATCTAGGAAGGATGTGGCATATGCTAGTGCACTTCTTAACTAGAAGTACAGATAAGGGGGAAACTATCACTGCCCTGCTCGTCCAGGCATTAGCTCAGAACTCCTTTGCTTTTGACTCACCTTATATCCGTTTTCTTCACCAAATTTGTAAATAGTTTCTCTACGTTCTCGAGTCGTGTTTGTAGCATCAAAGACCTAGGAATAATTACGGAAAAAGAGAGAGAGAGGAATTAAAAAAGCATCCTAGTCCGTGAAAAGCACTGTGTTAGTAACAACAAAAATACAGGTTCAGAATCCCTCATGCGAAGGAAAGCAATGAAAACACTTCCCCTTCCTTCTGCCCTGCTACCTCCACATGCTCAACAGAAAAACAGAAGACATTCCTACTTCATACACGTGATTTTCTAAATACTAAAAAAGTAATATTTTGAAAGCACTACTGGCAGAACAATGTATTTGGAAGAAGCAACCAGAATTTAAGCCTAACACATAATACAGGACAGAATCTTCCTCCTGGCCCCTATCAGCATTAAATACTGATGCATAGGTTTTTTAGTGAACTTATGCTACACAAAAAAGATGCTACAATCAATATGCTATTCAACATGCAAGTGTCAAACTTTTAAAGGGCAGAAGATCTGCAAGACTTGTAAATCCTGCCCATGAATTACAAGATATATGCAGCCATTTTTCTAAGAACTTACGTTTAGCTCTGAACACACCAGTGTTTTACCAAAGTATAAAGTTTACCTCATGTCCCCAGCAGAACTTGTAACTATAGTTAATGCTTTACCCTGATTAGTTAATGAAAACACCACAGAGTTGTGTCAGTAGTCTTAAGAAAAACATTATGCACAAAATATTATTAATGTGAATACACAACATCAGTAGTTAAACAGCTTATATTTTGCATCCCGTTATTAAATACTCAGATATGCAGCAATTTACTTTGAGTTTCTCCTGCTCTCTTCAGAGATTTCTCATGTCAGTTACACAACTGCTAAGCAATACCCAGGATGCTTTTTGGCCAGTAAGTCTTCACCTTTCACTTCAAACACTAGACTATCAAATAGAAACGCAAGTGCAACCAAAACAGCAGACGTGTTAAGGGTACGTCATATAATGTGGCGAGAAGGGGGACGTTTTTCTTAGCGTTACCCTCTCCTCAGTTAACCCCTCAAATGACAAAGGTGGTTGCTCAACATGGTATCATCACCCTGAACTTAAGAGCTCCTTTCACTGCAGCAACAAGGCAGACCTAACATACAACTCCAAAAGAAAAAAAATCTGATATACTGAAGAGACATTGGAATGACTCCAGCTGTACCACCAGACACACACTGTTTAGTAGGGAAACATCTCAAGAATGTGTCTTCAACAAGAAACTTACAGCCACGTGCCCATTTTCTTCACTGAGGTACCGTCGGACGTCATTCAGCGCTGCTAAGGCACATTGTCTTAAAAATGAAAGAGAGTAAAACTCAAATGCTAGTTAAAGTCATTTTATTAACGCACTTGTGCGTTGTGATCAAAGCGCCCTGCAAATGTTAGAGAATCTCTCTCAAACACACCTATTTTTTAACCAGTCGCCCACATTAAACATGGGAAAAACCAACAGAGGTCAACCAAGCTATACTAAGGAAATGCGGTCATGGCCATCTGCCTGAAAAAAGACCAGTCCAGCGCTCCTCTGTGCAACTGATACAACTATACATCACCACAGAATACCCATCAACTTTGCTGACCAGGATAAATTTTCACTGATCTACAGTAACATCACTGAATCATCCCTGCAACTGTATTCTTTTCCCAATTACCTATTCATAGATATTTGCTGCTTAATTTGATTCTCAAAGAGGGGAAAAATAAATCAACGTAAGGCTTTTATCTTGTAGCCCAAAGTTAAAGTGGATAGACAACTGTTTTTCAGTAATATACTCCTCCTCTTTTGAACTAGTGTGTAAAAATTGCTTACGTCAAAAACATCTGCTAAAACAGAGAGTAAACCAAAGTTAGCACCAAGTATTAGGGACAGAGGTGAAAATAACACCCCATTGTAGTTACCAACCCAATGTAATTAGTATTGGAGACTGTTGAGGATGCAAACAAACAAAAAAAAACCACCCCCCCATACCTTACACTTGTGTTAAATCTGGACAAGAATAAATTCATTTGCAACTTTGCTATTTCCCCAGCATTAGTATTATCTTCAAAGTCCATTATGATTTCTAACACATAAATAATAGTGGAGGGCAACATTAACATTGTGCATGATTTACTCACTAGCAGAACAAAGCCCCAGTTATTTCCAGTAAGTACAGTCTTTTTGCAGTTCCAACATGAAACCCTGTCCATTTCAACCACCTTTCTATGCATTACTACTTTATTTTGACTTCCAGACTGAAATGCATAACTCTTCTCTTACATTTACCATATTCTGCGTGCACAGTTTTATCTTAAAAGAAAAATGAAGGCTTTTCAATCCTGACGGTATTTCCACATTAGCATGGTTAATAGATGTCAGGAACTGAGAGTCATCAGTCAAGTCTTCACTAAATAAATACAAACCCTCTTTACTCATTGCTAACTAGGCAGATTAGCTCACACAGCCCATTTCATGTTATATTCCCCACCATTTAGTCTAACAGGTGACACAGAGGCACATTAAAAGGTTTGGCTCTACCTCTAAGCAAAAGGTAGGGGCTTGCAAGGCTAATGCACCTCACATCTACTCCTTGGTCCCAAAGGATTAGGAGGTTCTTATGCAAGTTGTTGTCCTTTGACATTAACAATACTGAACTGCTCCTGAAGGGGAAAGGGAAGACAGAGAGGACAAGTAAAGGGGCAGCCTCAAAAGGAAGTCCAGACAGTAGGAAAGTCCAGACGTTTTTTATTCTTGAGCTGAAGCAATTAAGAACAAAATACTCTGTATTTTAAGTAGCTTAAAAAAAACCAACGCATTTCCATTCCTCTAAAATCTGTTCCTTCTCATTTCATACTGCATTCGCTTAAACATTTTCCTGAACATACAAAAAAAGACAATGAATGGTCAAGAAAATCAAAAGACCTTCCTATTTGATCTTCTGTAAGAAAGAGAGGCAGCTCCCTCTCGCTCTAACCTTCTCTTTCCTCTAAAGGTCTTTCCTCTATATGGAAGTAGAGACTCCTTCCAGGCAAGAGGGGAGTCTCAAGTGCTTCATTTCTGCGCGCAGATGTTCATGCTGGTGCTCGCCTTGCTTTGCATAGCATTAGCAAAACACAGCAATTTTCAAGGCAGTGCACTGACTGACTGCATGAAGCACCTGCATGGTGGCCAAAAAGACAACTTCAGAGAGAGAATAATAGTGTTTCATTCCCGCTCATTTGAACAGATAATGACCAGTACATTCAAAGTACTCCAGGCAAAAAATTCCAGTACGCAAACCAAAAAGAAAGGCAGGTATGTGGGTTTTTTTCTTCTTTATTATCCACACAGAAGCTCTGAAATGGCATTTTAGGAATTAGACAGTAGAGTCACATCTATTAGCTGATACCTTACAAAAAGGTAAGAAAAAATAATAACTATTTGTTAAAACTGCTTTGTTTTGAGTGAAAATACCCTGGAATATCTGCAAGAATAACAGCAGTCACAGCCTACTGAAAGGTGAAAAGGAATCAAGTTTAAGTATTTACCTTCTCTGCATTTTTGATACTTGAGATGAAGCAATTAAGAAAAAAATACCCCAAATTTTAAGCTGCCTAAACAAATCACTTTTCCACCCTCTCTAGAATTTCTTTTCCTTGTCATTTCATACTGCAGTCTCTTAAGGGTCTTCCTGAGCATACAAAAATGCAACTTAAAGCAGTCTCTAAGAGCAAATTACACAGGGTGCCATTTTAATACAATTAGCACTGGGTAGCCAAACACATTCAAAACTTACTTCCTGATTTTCAAGCCTTCTTCATTGTCAGGCAGGAAGAATTCAAAAGATTTATACTTTTTCACCAAATCTCGACGATACTGACCAACATTAAATTCTGCCAAGAAGAAACCAGTATTAGTGAAACTAACAGTATTCACATAAAAAGGACAAATGTTATGACAGCTTTGAAACTAAACTACCTGCAAGGATAAAATAATTTCACATGTACAAAGTCAACATATCATACCACTTCTTGTGTTTTGGGGGGGTTGGTTTGTTTTTAAATACAAAGACAACAACAAATCATGGAAATGGCAAAAGAACATTTGGGCTGTAGGTAGCTTCAATGGAGTCACTTGACCATCTTGCTGTGCCTTTGTCTGCCAGTTTGCCTGAACAATAAAAAGAAACTCTTTTCCTCCTTGGCAGGGGTGGTTGGAAGTCTATTTCAGTAGCCTACAAAGGACTACTAATAATCTAGCTTTTTCTTCTGCGTGTATCTGCAGTGAAACAGTATTCTGATAGCACCCCCCAAAACTTTCAGCTCTTATTTAAGCAAGGCAGAGCTCTAAACAGACCTAACCAATCTTGCTTTTGATAAACAAAACTTAAAAGTCAAGTTGTGAAAACATTTTTTCAGAACTCTGCTTAAATATTTCTATTCCTTAAGGATCAGTACATACTATTTCATAACCCCTGTTCTGTTTATTTAACAAAAACGCTTAAGTTATTTAAAAAAAAAAAAATCAGTGTAAGTACTGAACATAATCTTACTGTGATCTCTTAACAGTGGTCAAAGAAAACTATTCCTTATTTGGGCAAAGGTCTGTAAGGCCTATGGCCATACCCATGTCACAGTATCAGATATGGGATTAGGGCAAGGCAGTTCTGTTTTGCCACACAGCAGACAATGACACTGTACCCTAATTAACTTCATTCAGCAGCTCTGAAAGTAGGCCTCTGAAGTGCAATTAATGTTTAACTTGTTTCTGACCTATAGGTTTTCTCTGCTGAACTGTAAAGCATTTTTTTTTAACATTAGATCAAACTGAAGTATTCTGTTTGAGAAGCTGCCAAGGTATAACTACATGCCAGACTTCATTTCTGGAAAGAGGAAAAGAAGTAATTGCTGAGTTGCAATTAAGAAAAAAAGACATAGGATAAAAGAGCTCAACCATAAGTTGCTGTATATAGATTGCTGTTGGAATGGGGGGGCAGAGAATGAAGAAATAAATATTGTTTATCCTCCTGAAAGTCAAGTTTTGTTTGGATTCAACAATGTTGATTTTTTTTGTGGTCAACTGTACGACATGGATTATAGTAGAATCCAGGTTATTCTGTGACAGGTTTAATGAGCACTGGCCGTGCTGGCTACATGAAAGGGTGGCTCCTTGTAAGAAAAACAGAAGATGCAAGAAGTTCAGATGGCCAGTGTTGTCAGGCAATAGCCCTTTAAAAATCAAAAATAATGAATTTCATAACAAATAATAGTTACTGAAAGAGGGTCATGTACAGCAAAGGAAAAAGTGCTATCTAGTGGGACGATCTTCAGCCCTTATTATTAGCACCCACCCCTGTGGAAAAGTTTCACAAAGCTAACTGGTATCACAACTACCACACAGCCAAACTATTCAAAAAAGCTTCCCAAAGCTCAGTATCTAAAAACCACATTGCAACACAATTCTATTCAGGCATCTAATTGACCTCATTTCCTTCAAAAAGCCCAGACAAAAGTCCTTTGTATTTTTAACCATTTCACATTCTAAATGACAGAGGATTTTGGAAGGAACAAAAGAAAACACAGAACTGATGGCTGAAGTGATTTGACTAACACATCAACCCTGGGCTATCTACCTCCACCTTCTGTTCTTGAACTCTCCAGCTTGCCTAATGTATGTTACATGAAAAGACAGCATTTATCTTTTCTCTGGTTTACATAACCTCATAATTTTAACCATCTGACTCAGAGAATAAGAACACTCACTACATTAAGCACACACCAATTCTAAGACATTAAGAGCCGAAGGGGTGACAGCTGTGAGGGCTACTCAATACTTAACCAGGTATCAATTCAGTCCCAGTCAACTGGACGCATTAGGCAATGTGTCATCTATTCCATCAGTCAGCGAGGTATTCTAAACTGATTTCAGCTTCAGTAAAATTGCATCACTGATGACACAAACAACAGGAAGGGTCTGTGGTTTTTCAAAGGAGTCCCCAGTCACCCTTTCTAACAAAGACAAACCGTAACCAGCAACCTAGGATGGAATCTCATATAGCAACTTTATGTTGTGTATGAACAACTTTACATAAAATCAGGCAGCAATGTTTTAAATATTTTTATTAAGCACAGGCACATATATTTTCTGATGTGCTGCTCAACGGTAGCCCATGAAACCTATCCTATAACTGAAGCAGAACACCCCTATCTATTTTACTGTATTCAGGATATATTCAACCAAGCGTGAGCCAGATGTGGACAGTATCTTGTTTGTTGTCCGATACTGGATTTCTGCTTTTCAAAGTTCACATAGTAAAACGTTCAACACAATGACATATATACATATCTACATACATGTATATTATAGATTTCATCAGCTTGGATATAGGCTAACGTATTTAGATTGTTATTCCACTTCAACCTCGTGGATAAAACTGAAGTCCCTAAATAGCTGATGCTGCTCATCAGAAGGGTGATCCTGTGTGAAAACAGTCAAAACTTAGGTGATAATTTAAATGCTGTAAATTCTCACACTCAAACAATGTAACGTATCCTCCATAACATCTCGTCTAAAAAAACACATTAGACAGTTTCTAAGAGCTTAAGAAAACACCAACTCCAAAAGCTATAGCCTAGAATCAAAGGCAGTTTAAATATAGGCCAGAACTCTTCATCTTGACTTCTTAGAGCTACTAAGAAATACATCTCTGAATATCCAGCCAAAAGTCTACGCTTTAGTACGATCTAACATATTTGATGTTACTTAAACGATTAACTAATCGTAACTATAAAGCTACCATTACCGCACCAGACACAGAATCACAAAACACTAAAGCTGTCTTTTTCTTCTACAGAGACAGAGGAGAAGGCAGGGTGAGATTGCTGCTCAGAACCTCAAATGGACTTAAGTCTTTTTCGTTTGTCAAGTTGGGTCCACAAGATACCACAGGAGCTCAGGAATGAGGTGGGACAGCCAGTCCTTGGCGTAACCAATCTGAGCTGTCGATTCCCACTCAAAACACACATATAAAGTCATTAAGACAGTGATAACAAGTGGCTGCTTCAGCTCCCTGGGCTCTTTAATATTCAGACAAAGAGCTGTAACTCATTCCATAAATGCAGTTAAACAAAGCGTTACGCAGAGCATTACACGTTGCACAAAGTTCACACAGAAAAGAAGATGGAGAAGTCAGAACTTTAACCCAGAAGTGCTGACTGCTCGTCCGCTCACAAACGAGATTCCCTTTCACCCACAGAAAGAAAGGGGAAGGGTGGAAAAAAAAAGTAAAGATGACAGCTGAAGAACCGAACTGTTAAGGAACAAGGGCACAAAGTTGATTTAGGCACCTGGCAGAACAAGGACATAAATGAACAGTCACCAGAATTTGATTAATTAACATCTAAGCAGAACAGAGAGCCTGTGTATGCTATCGCTTAAAAATAAGTTAACAAAGCAGAAGGATTTTCAGTAGTCAAACTGGGCAACAAAATTACTGAGAATTAGGTTTATAGAACACCTAACATCTGCCCTGTCCTTCTGATGTAAACAAAAAGTAAATCCATCACCTTTTGTAGGCACTCCAATCCAATTTAAATAGCGTGTCAGCTTCTTCGAGATGTAGGTTTTTCCTCTTGCTGGGAGACCCACCATGACAATCAGAGTAGGGCAATTGGTCATACATACTGAAACAGAAAACCAGAAAACTAGGATTTAACACTAACGTTCCCACAAAGCAAAGGCTTATATTGCAGTGGACAATTACAACCCATGCGCTCTCTGAGGAAGTGACCGTTCAAGCAGCTCATGCACTGTGTCCCACTATTTCAGGGGGTTTTTTCAGGAGCACAGTGGACCTAACCGGGTGTCTTAATGCTGTGTTGAATTTTGGAAGGGCAAGTCAGTGATAGTGCAATGCTGGACCCGTGAGTTGTATACAGGCAGAAGACAAGAAGCATATGTATTTGCATACACGTTTTAAGACATACAAAAACAATACCAAAAAAGGACACTGACATCTTACACCCCTATGTACCTCAGCTCAGCACCTGCATTGAAAGGAAACCACAAAGTGTACACAATTTTCAGGTAATTTTTAAATCTTTAAGACAAGATCTAAACACTGCTCAACCTTTTCTTGGTTTTGAGCGAAACAAGCATGACGCATGCTTCTCATGGTACTATTTATTATTTCTCCTTTAAATATTATTAGCATAAAAATCTCTCTTGAAACAGAGCTCATTTTGACTGTTCTTCAATGGTTACTAGGAATAAAGCACAAGTATTCTACGCAATCAAGTACATAATCTGATATACAGATATACGTACAGAAACTCTTAAATCAAAGGCAGAGTGTTTAATTAAAAAAACGCTGTGTGAAGTTAGAGGAGTTATATGTATAATCCGAAAACCTCGAGGCGTTCCTTTCAAATGACAAGGTTTTTTTGAACATTTTAATGCACAAAACTACGGATACCTTGCATGAATCTATCACAGCTACAAGGAACTGCCTAAAAAGAAAGAAGATATTAAAATGGCGCAAAGATGTCACTGGCTCCCTCCGTCCTGTATTTCAAAGGGAATTAATTTCTATACAATCCACACGTGCATCAATTTCCTCAGTGTCTTGACAGATGAGGAGTCAGTTCACTCCAAAAGACTAAACCTCAGTGTTACGCTGTAAAACCTGACTAAACTGTTGCACAGAGCACTGTGATTGTCCGAGATTCCCAAATCTTGGATTGACAAAGTCCCATCCCACTAAGACACTTGCACAAATCTGGCACAGCTACCCCGCGTAGTAAACCCATCAGAAAAGAACAAACAGATTAGCAAAGACAGATGCATTTTCTCAAAACACACATTGGGGGGGAAACCAACTAATACCCAAAGTCATTAAAAATCACTTTTCACGGTTGAGCAGGCAAAAGCCACACCTAACCTCAAACCCATGAAACAGAGTCTACTACTCCATGTAACCAAAGTTACAGAGAACTGAATGCAAACCAAAACAGATCCATCCAAACATGTCCATGTCTCGGAAGGACACTGATAAAAGCCCTCAGAGTAAGCTCCTCTGTGCAGAAGCCTATAAACAAGAAGGATAATGTTTTCTTGTCCCTTTTCCTCTTTGTCCTAAGTTCAGGCCTGCAAACTCCAAGAGGAGAAAAGAAGGCTCAGTAAAAAAGTCGAGACTAAACCTGTATGTTTAGTCTAAACCTAAAATGCAAAGTTCTGAGGATGTATCAAATAATCAAAAGTTAAAAATAATTTCATTTTCTTTCATTTTATCTGAACCACAACTTTCTCAACAAAATGTTGCCAACGCTCACTGCAAGTGGAAAGGAACGTTCATTCCAACGACAGTATTTAAGGTGTCAGTGTCTCAAGACTTACGCCTTCCTTTGAAGAAATGTAAGCAATTTTGACATGAGGATGTGGGCTGATAAGAAAACCAAACAAACCACAAGTTACACATATCTAACTCCTGGAATAAAAAAAGCCTCTTTAGTTTAATATTTGCCCAACAGCACAATGCTCAATTCCCCTTTTCACAGCACCTCACCATCATTCACTTTATACGAAAAACAATTTGCAGCACAAAAGCAGTTATATAGGTGCAAGTTGCAGAGCCAAGGCAGACTCCTAAGCACAGCTTTCTCTCAATTCCTTATCGCTGGATTGTCTGATTTACCTCCAGAGATCTCTCTACACAATCTAGTCTCAAGAAAACAAACTCATTTTTTACTGCTGCTTCATGTATATAACCCCTAAGGGTTTCCAACAGCCCCAACCTGTGGATGTGCTATCAACACTGATTTTGCTAGAGGAACATACACAGTCAGAACAGCAGAACAAAACTTACAGGGTTGTATGTCATCATTTGCTAAAGATGCTCTATGACTTTACTCTGTTTTTTTTTCTTTAAAATAAATGCTTGTAATACATGCATTTAAGATTGCATGTTTATAAACAGCAGTATCAAAAAGAAATGTATGTTGCATCCCCTCGCTTAGAGGCAACACATGAAAAACACGCCCAAAATACCAATCAGTGAAGGAAAATGGCCAAGTGATGAAGCGTGTTCAAATCAAATATTGCAATTTAAGCAAAGTCACTATCCCAGTTAAAAATTTTTTATATACTACTGAACAACACAGCAAGTTGCAGCTCAGAGTAAAATTACGACTGCCTACCCTTCTAAAGTTTAAGACTTAACAGTCAAGGAAAGAATAAACTACATGCTCATTTCTTGCCTCTTAGATGCTACTGTGAAATAATGCAAGATACAGAAGGTGGTTTTGAAACCAAACTGGGACACTGAACAACCTACATCAGCTGCACAGCATTTCATCAGCCCTCGCATGATCTTGTGAAATCAGAGACAGAGTTGGTATTTTTCAAGTCCACCTACTACCTATTATCAGCTGTCCCTTCCTGTCACCCAATATGAGATTTTGTTTTTTCCTTATCTGTGTTAAATTTTTAAGTCAACTTTTAAGGTCAGGGTTTTTTTTATATCAAGCTGCTATAGTTAGCCATCTGAAGTTTACAGAAGGATTCTTGCTGTTTCTATGGCCTTTGACTCAAGGCCTGCTCTCCGAAATCACTGTACTATTTAGAGGCTCATAAACAAGCATCTTTAATTATAAGCCAACACAACCATCCTTCCAAATAAGGTTAGCCCTACATGTTTTCCCCTATCGCTTATCCAATGTAACTATTGCTAATCCATTTTTTTCTTGTTGATCAATGATGACAATTGATCACCCTTCTTCACATCCCACAGGGACAAGTTCCCCATCCTGCTACTCATCCTCCACGCTCCTTCAGGTATAGCAGTCGATCATCTTCTGATTTGTCTCTCCTCTTTTTGTCCAAATCACCAGTTTCTAACATCACCTTGGCACAAGGGATTCAGAATTCGTATTTGTCCTCTAGCCAGCCTCGTGCCACCAGCTGCTCCTAGCAGCTCTGCCATCCACTTGCTCAGGGTTACCATTTGCTTCCTACAGCTCTGATGCCAGCAGCGATGGCCCCATCTTACATCCTGATCCTCCGGCTACAGCTGGGTGCTGTCCTTACCTCATTCGCTTTTTCCATCTTCAGTTCCTAGGGGTGGGAGTACAGAGACGCATAAGCAGCATGAGCTCAAAGGGCAGAGTTTTTTAGAGCAAAGATAATCTTCATTTGATACTTCTTTTTTTGGACCTGATGTACTTTCATACCGCTGTACAAACAGCAAATAAAAATTATTAGAAGACCAAATTCCAGCAGCTTTAGGGAAACAAAGCTGTTAACGGCAGTAGGGGGAAGAATAATGTTTAACCACAGGAAGTTCACCATTTCTCTCTCACTCTACAAACATCCTCTGCCAGGCTCTCAAAATAACTTTCACTATAGCATACTTGGTTATTTATTTTTTATGCCCGTGTTTGTAGCCCATTGCTTGGTTCATGGAGCTTGAAGCAATCTGACAACCAATGCCAAGAGTAGCTTTAGTGCAACCTATTTACAGACAAAGCCTTTCACAGAAGACCACAAAAGGTAAGTGGCAGTTATCAATAAAAACGTGCATTTCTACTGCCTTCAAGTCTCACTTTGGAAGGTCATTTAGAACAGCTACCTTCAGTTTATTGGTCTCACCAGCTGTAAAAGCTCAGTCTGCTCGGCAGGCTGCCTGCGCTCAGAACTCGTCCTTGAAGACCTTGTAATGCACAGACTAAAAGAACTAGCTCTCCAAAGCCCCGTGACAGCTAAACCCTGGCACAGCTAGCCAGATTTCTTCTTCCCCAGATAATTACAGCTGCTACAACTTTTAGAAAATTATGCTAAAAACAGCTAACAGAGGTAAGTCCCTTTGAAGATGGGTCTGCCGTGTCCTCAACTGGAAGTATGCACCATTCTGCTCGTGTACCTTCTAGAAAGATAAATTAAGACTAAAAGTAGTGCAGATAAAGGTCATCAGCATGAACAAGGAAATAAAAAACCCCACCAAAGGAGACTGAAAGAGTTCATCTTGCTTAGCCTAGAAATTCAGAAGACATCAGTGACTAGCTTCACTGTTTCCACTGGAAGGCTACTCTTGAGCACAAGAAATCCACTTCCAACTTGAACTTGTATTTTTTTGAACAGTAACGTTTTAACAGAGTTACCTGTACAAGCAGAGAACTGGAATTGCTCAACCCAGCACTGCCCCAAATGACCCAGCCTGGGCAGTCCATCCTGAGCTGCCACACCACGGCTTCAGGGCCTGCAGGTCACACTGCCTCATCAGAACACAGGACGATGCAGGATACATGGAAATCTGAGGATAAAGGACTCTGCGGCCCCCTTGCATGGGAAAAATTGCAAAGCATTCTCAGTTTGCTGAAACAAGATAGATGGTTTTATCAAGGAAGAGTAAGTTCTGCTCCTCTCTAGGCTGTTTGTAGTTCTTATGTACCACAAATGACTGTAGATATAGTACGGGTATACTGCAAGAGCAAATGTGTACAAAAGCAAAAGGATAAAAAAAAAAAAGTACTTCCCAATCTGTTTTTCTAGCAAAAAGGTTTTTCAATTATAAGGGGTCCTGGGCATCAAAAATTATAGAATGCTACAAAAAAAACAGGTATGTGAAATAGGTTTTTTTTAAGGTAGTCTATAGTCAAGAGAAGCTAAATAATTCTGCCAAGACGACTCC